GCTCGTTACAGTCCCCGCCATTACTGCTCATCCAATGCTCTACCAGCCCTAGGCCGGACTATTTGTACGTGGTTCTGATGTCGGTTTTGGATTCAACGAGGAGTCCTGCTTCTGTTTGTTAGCATACACACTGAGCCATGATAGGTGTGTGCTTCACATTTCCCAAGAGTATGTGCAGCCGTTCTCGCATTCTTCATTAGAACTCAGAAGAGTCGGAACATGTCTGTGTTTGATTTGATCCTTCCGTCCTCTTGTATTGCCTCAGAAGTTTAGAAACCTATTTTCTGTTCTCTGGCGTGGGAAGTCTCGCTCCCGTGTTAGTGAACATAAAAATCTTGCCATGCTTGGCATGTGGGCCATCCATAGCAGCCAGTTCTATTTCTGGATAGGTCCATGACGAAATCACTACTTCGACACCTTGCTCATTTGCTACCTTCTTTGGTACTTTCTCTCGTCTTACTTCATTTTTTCAAACAGGAATTTCAGTGTCGCATGATCTACCATCACATCAGTTTTCTGATTGATGATTTTTAAAACACAAATACAATGGGTGCGCAGATCCGAAAATCAATCAATCTGGCTTATGTGACTCCGGCACACATGTACTTAGTACTTACCAATCAATATTTGACATAGACAGATAAAGTCCCTCCTATAGCATCATGCACATGGGAGATACTAGATAGCCATAGATGGTGAGGAGAGAGAAGAGGACCAACGTTAGAGAGGAAGGGGAGAGAAAGTCGAGAACAGAATATAGGCAAACTGATAATAATCTTTCCCTCTTTTTTTCTTACCAAAAAGTTCAAAAACATTGAATCATTTCTTGATTTAAGTGTGTCATCCTTGTGCAGGGACCATGCTAATCTTCTCTGTATCCTTCATATTTTGCCGGATGTCCTGAAAGGACAAAGTTCTCTCTCCCGAGTCCCAACCACTAACAGTCCCCAAATCCTATGCCGAGTCTGAACCTGGAATAGTCGACGAGTGTGAACCTGGAATAGTCGACGAGTCTGAACCTGGAATAGTTGACTAGTCTGAACCTAGAATAGTCGACGAGTCTCTGACCTCTCTTTGGAGGCAAGAAGGAGACAAATGCAATGAAGAAGAAGAAGGAGGAGGAGGAGGAGGAGGAGAAGTTTGTCCCGTTTCACTCTTTCTCTCAGGTACCTGGTGTATGAAAGGTACTGTCTTGCCTGGCTCCAGTTGGCACAGTCTCCCAGCTATGGCGACCAGGTAAGTGCCCTCCTCTGCTGAATGCTGCCGGAACCTCCACTCTTGCCTCAAGTCTTCTCGCCTAGCTCCTGTACTCTAGCATTAATCTCGACATCCTAACTCTGGCCCCCGCGCCGCACTCCAGCAGCCTGGTGTCAAACTGAAGCTCAACTCTGTGTCCGAACTGAATACTGGACTACTGGAAGTGCCTCCTCCTTGCATCTAGGGCCATTCAATCTATCCTATGATCAATGGTCCTAGATGCACGACAAAGCCCAGGTCCAATCGCCTGGCCTAAAAACGGCCGGCTTGTATCCCTATTGGACGTCCAGGCATCCCTGCTGATGCAGCAGGCGTCGTCCTGGGCCTACTGGAAGCGTCTTCTCCCTGCATCTAGGGCCCTTCGATCTATCCTATGACCAATGAGCCTAGACGCAGGCCCAAGCCCTGCTCTAGTCGCCTGGCCTAAAAATGGCCGGCCTGTATCCCTATTGGACATCCAAGCATGCCTGCGATGCAGCAGGGATGGTCCTAATAGGATCTAGCGGCTAAGGACAAACTTGGTGCAGTCCGACTACCAAAAAACGTCCCCTGGGCATCAGAGCAGCCAGACCGTGAAGAACCAGCACTCCACTGGTTCCAAACGACATGTACTGAACCCAGTCTGGAGGAACACTTGTCAGATGTCGAAGTACAAGATAAGTCTGCGCTGAATAATGTCTCCAATAATCATGAATGTAATTAGTGATACAATGTCTCGTAACTCATAGACGAAGAGAGGACGTTTGAGAGGGTGGAAGAGTAAGTATCCAACAATGACTACACAGATAGTAGCCCAGGAATCCCTCTTCTGCTTCGGGCCTCCTCCTCGCCTCCACGTCACCAACAGTGTCCAAGAAACGAGCCTGACAGGGCCTGATCACATCAGAGTGCCACGTGGCACAGTTCTCCCATGGTTCAGCAGCGCACAGGATCGACATCAGCAACAGGTAAGTATCTCCTCTCTCTATCAATTCACAGATCCCGATCTCCCTCCTTGTCGCGTCCAACTCAGCAATGAAGACAGTGTGGCAAATGCCACGTCAGCAATGAAGACAGAGTGGCATGCGCCGCATCAGCAATGTCGAAGACAGCGTGACGCACGCCACGTCAGCAGTAGACAGCTGGCGCCAGAGCAAGGAGGCGCCAGCACGCATGCCGCAGTCTCGCATCGTCGTCCACAGTGCCAGCGTGCAGCCAGTGTTCAGCCCGCGTTCACCCAGCGTCAAGCCAGCATCCAGCCAGTGTCAGGCCAGCGTCAAGTCAGCATAGCAAGACTGAATGTTGACTCCTTGGAGGCAGAGTCTTAAGTAGTGTTTGACGAGGTAGACCTGCCTCAGGTCTCCCACCCATGGTGGCTCAGATTGACTCACAGCCGATGGCCTGGATCCCGTACAGTTGCAGAGTTCCTCTTGGTCCGGATGTTGTCTCGATACCTGCATACAGACAAGTGTGTGTGTCTGACCGGCGGCCTGGGCTGGGTCCATGCAGACTTTGACGCGTGGCCGCTGGGTAGTTGACCGAATTCAACTGTCGGGCGCACAGGCTCTGAAGCCAATTTCGGGGGTTTATTCCCCTCGATCCTATGGCCTTAGGCCGGGGTCGCGGCCTGCGTGTGCCCCTAGGACAACAACAGGGCATATTGAGCGGGTTATTGCAGACACATTCCAGAACTGGAAAATCCCAGAGCACACAAAACATGACATTGTCCAGGCCCAGACAAAAGCAGACGAGGCAAAAACCTCAGAAACGAGAGAAAGAGCACAAAAACAACAGAAAAGGATAACCACAACTCACACTGCCCAAAATGGCTGTACCATGGCCCCCATGGCTGCCTAGAATGAGTGTTGCATGCATGCTGAGTGTCTGAAACTGTACCCATACTGTACCATGACCTCCATGGCTGCCTAAAAGGGAGTGTTGCGTGCATGCCACAGTGTCTGACTAGCAGACCGTACGCATAGCCTCTGTGGCTGGATTGGATTGCAGCGGGGTTTGAGAAGGGTGGGATTCGTTGGGAGGAGTTGGGTGTGAAGAACTGGTGTGACTAGAGAGAGAATGGGGTTGGGTCTATATGTGACAGGTATAGGGAACAGGAGTGAAGCCCATGAGCCAAGATGAATATCTGGAAAGGAGTAATATAAGGTGAACGGATGGTGGGGGGCGGGTAATGTGGTGGGGTTGGCTGAAAAAGACGGTGTTAATAGTGATGTCTTGGCTGATAGCCTGGGCAATCTCTGGGTGAATGGTGGGGTTGAGTGCGAGTTTGCCATTGTTTTGTTACGTGAGTGATTGAAAAGCAATACAACAAAGCATCAACATGTTCCCATACACATGCCATGATGACAAAGCAGAATTGGAGAGCGAATTCACACCACGCCAGACAGATATGCACAGTGGAAGCTCCACAATCCTTAGAATTGAAGAAGGTATCAATTCACAGTCCCTCGCCTCTATCCAGTTCAATCAGCGTCACAAAGAGCCCAAGAATCTCAAAACGAGAATCAACAGCCTTGAACAAACGCATAACAGAGCTTCAACAAGCTTCTGGAGTCTTCCTACTCCCTCCATTATCATCCTCCCTCCTGCTGCCGGCTATGACGCTCCTCCTGGAAACACAGCGCCCAGCCCCGAGTCCTGCAGACCACCAGCGCCTACCTCCTTTCTGCCTCAACAGCCCGCAGCGCTTCTCAGAAATCACTCAGATGCCACAGCGTCGAGTCAGAGACCTCACAGAGTGAACAGCGCCAGCTTCAGGATGAAGAAGGAACCGCCAGCTCGAAGAAGACGACCGACTGCTGCCATGAAGAAGAAGAGACGGCAGGCTCGGCAGCGCCTAACGCCAACAGCACAGATATATGGTGTCACCAGGCGCAGCAGCTAAAGCGCTTGCTTCACTGCTGCAAGAAACCCTAGCAGCAGCTTCCCAGCTCCAGCGCTGCTTCGGCAGCAGGGCGGCGTCAGCACAAAATCCAAACAGCCGTTTGCCAACTGAAGACCAACAGGTCAAAGACCTCTAACACTACAGACTGACTCTATTTTTAGTTGTACTAAGTACTTTGAATTCCCGGACTGGACTCCTGGGATCTAGGACACAGCTAGCAGTTATGAGTTGGTGTTTTCCAGTAACAGTGGTACCGGTCTGAGGCAGTATTAAAGCAACAGTCCGTGTACACCCGAATGAGGTTTAGGACCAGTGGCACCGGTTTAGCAGTAGTTTAGGGAATTCGCAGTAATGTCCCTGTCAGTTTAGGCCTGTTTCAGTTACCGGTTAGGACCCAGAACTCAGAAAAATTACAAAGATGCCCCTGTTAGTTTTACAGCCCGCTGAGAAACTGCAAGAGCATTGCAATTCGGTTGGGGAAAACAGAGGGGGCAAGGGGGTAGGGAAAGGGTTATGTGGATCCCATAGAGGTCTGTAATTTCACTGTTCTTGCTCGTTTTCGTTTGTTTCTTCCTTTCTTTCTTCCGTTCATTTCTCTCTCTCTCTCTCTCTCTCTCTCTCTCTCTCTCTCTCTCTCTCTCTCTCTCTCTCTCTCTCTCTC